AAAATTACAAAATTTAATCTGAGGGAAAAGTGATAGTAGCACAAAATAAAATATATAAAATCCCATTTTATAAGCAAATATTCAGCCTATAACTAATTATTTAGAAACTGATCGTATTTTTGAGAAACTAAGCTCCTTTATTTTTCTTCATCCTTTATTTCTTCTGCCCTCATTTTTTCTATTTTTCAACTCATTTATATAACCTATTCTAGAAAAGAAAGGGCAAAAAGAGAAGGAAAGAAACAGATCCGTTAATATAGTTATTTCTTAGCAGATCTAAAAGAAGTGGAGAAAAGTTTAAATTACAACGAGAGACCCATTATGGGTCTCTGGCTACACCAATGTGCAGCAGCTACAATTCCTTTGTCTTCCCCTGGTCTGGATAACTGAGAATTAGCTGATATGCTTTGAAAGAGGTAGAACACTGCATCTCTAAAACTATTCATCACCAATGACTGAATGATCCTGCAACAATTGAGACCTTGTCTACAAAAATGCACTGAAGTTTTTAAATTAGATAAAAATTTCCAATATCATTAAAGCTAATATATCTTTAGCCACATCAGATTATTAGCTATTTTTATTAATTGCTGCTGCATTTGGTATGCAATTCACTATGCCACAGAAATATAAATCTAGGTAACTCAAAAGAAAAAGAAAAAAATTTTATCCACATCAAGAGAAAAATATCTACAAGGAAATTAAAAAAACGTGCAAGCACTTAATTGAAAATATCAGGCATTATGTACTTAAATAAATACATCAAGAGAGAAAGAAGACAGCAGCGGAACCTAAACCTAAAACCTGAATACACAAATGGACAATGGCCAGATCATACATAAAAATACAAGTCTAACTCCCAACTTAGAGCAACTCGCCTAGGAAACCATACCTACAATAAACAGCCCAGGAAGCCAGTCTGCTCTAAGTTAGACTTGCAGGAAGTCAGATTGTCACCTCCAGCAGCAATCCAGGAAGCTAAACAATAACATCTATAACAACTCAACCAAAGTAGTCAAGACTTGATTAACTAACAGCTTCCCTAAATTTTGTCACCATTTTCAATTTAGGACAAACCAGAGAAAGACAAATATGCACCTCGAACTAATCACATTGAATGCCCTACTTCTAATTACCCCCTCTTACAGCTTCCCCACACCAACAGCCTCCAACCAAGGCATACTTCAAGCCTTCCCTTTCTCCACTATAAAGCTTTCCCATTCTTTTGTCTGCCTTTGAGTCTCTGCCAAAATGCAAGTGGCGGTGGCTAACTCCCTTTCTATGTAGCAAGGTCTGAATAAAGAGCCTTTACATTTCTCATTCGGTGGGTCTTCATTTATTTCCACACTATTGAGCATCTACTACATATCCATCAATGGGGAGCACACTTAGATATCCTAAAAAGTTAATTTTCACAATATTTTGAGAGGATTTTTTTATCCCCATTTCATAGATGTACAGAACTGAAGTGTGTAGAAGTCAGTTTCTTGTGCTTTCCTATTTACATCATGCTAGAATCATAGTTTTTGGTACATTATTGTGATAAAGGTATTTAAGATAATATTAAAAGGGCACTAACAATAACAACAATAATAACAACAACAGCTATAAATTAGTTGGGTATTTTTTAGCATTATTTGCATTCGTATCTATCAATTTGCTGGGTAAATGTCAACATTGTATTTTTAATTGACTCATTGCTTTAAAGTTATAATGAATCAAAATACACAGAGTTTGAAATAATCAAAAGCACCATAGAAGAAATGACTTCTCTATCTTATTTGCTATAAAAACACATCAGCAGAAATAATTTGCTTGTCAAGTAGTGACCGAAGCAACAGGGTTTTTTTATAGATAATGTGTAGAAAACCTTGTAAGAGGGGCACCTGGGTGGCTCAGTCAGTTGAGTGTCTGCCTTCCACTGGGGTCATGATCCCAGGGTCCTGGGATGGAGCCCTGAGTTCGGCTCCTTGCTCAGGGGAGAACCTCTCCCTCTCTGGGAGGTTCTCCCTCTCCCTCTCCCTCTGCCCCTCCCCCCAACCCCGCTCGTGCTCGTGTGTGCGTGCATGCATGCACGCGCGTGTGCGCTCTCCCTCTCTCTCCCAAATAAATAAAATCTTAAAAAAAAAGAAAGAAAAACCTTATTAAGAAAATGTAGTTATTTATGATACTGACAAGGAAACAAGTAAAAATGAAATTTGAGTGATTCTGAAAAAGAATAAGAATTTGCCTGGCACTTTTTAAAAGGTAATTATTTGACAATCGCATAAGTTAACTACCATTGTATTTATTTTACAAATAGAAACAAGTTGTAAAGACATTTAAGAACACTACCTAAAACTTATCAGTTAGTGAGCAAAACAGTCTATATTCAGAAACTGAAATAATTTTTGGTTTCAAAGTTCAACAGATATGCTTAAGAAACATCTGATTAAAATTCACTTTAACATATTCCCTTACCACATAAGTTGGCACAGAACCTAAATGCATTGAAGTAATTTATTTTCTAACTATAAAATAATATAACTTAGCTTTATAGGAAGAAGCAGGAAAAGCAGCATTTGCACAAATTAGAAATTACTATGGAAGCTACATAAAACTAGATTTTTTTTAAAAAATAGGAAAATATAGATGATTAATAAGGCCTTTTAATGCCTGAAAATAAAATGATATTTAAGAACAATTCCCTTAACAAAGACCTGAAGAACTAAAAAGAAATCTACAGATAACATTGTTTAAATAATAATGTAGAATAAGAAATGATGACTAAAGGCCAAATAATTCCTCAGGTGGTTTCTACTTTGTCTCACTAATTTCATTTAGTTAATTCAAACCTTTATTAAGAATTCCTTGCTTTGAGCCTAAATTAAAATGAACAGATTCGGAATCTGAGAAGCCTTATAAAAGAAAAAGATTCAAGTTATTGGCCTTTATAGCATGTCATGTTAAGGAAGGAAAACTATTTTCTGAAATGTCTCTGTTTTAATAAAAGTAATGAATTTGTCACATAAAATTATAAATACCAAAGTTATAATTTGGCCACTTTGCTAAGCATATAGAGGGGGAAAAAACTACTTCCTTTATATACCTGAAAGACTTTGCTCCTTCCCATAAATAGGACTGATGCTCAGTGACTATCAATTGATTTAACTTTTAAAACCTTTAGTTATCTTCTCCCCATTGGGATGCAATGACATATTTTTCATATAAAAGAAAAAGTGAATTTTGTTTTGTTTTGTGTGTTTTTTGTTTGTTTGTTTGTTTTTGCCTCGTTCTACATCAGCCCTTCTGAATGGGGCAAATGAGCAAAAGGTATGGAGTAGGTTGCAGAATGCATTTTATAAGAAAATCACTTGGCGGATTTTCCAAGCAATACGTACCTCAAACATTGGGGTAGATGTCAAGAAAAACAATGGTATCATGAAAATCACATGTTCCAATAACTTTGAAGCAATAGTATGTGGGCAGACTGCCTGCATTAGAATCCTACCCTTCCACTGGCTAACTGTATGACACCAGTCAAATCCCTTAACTGTGATAAGTTTCTTCATTTATAAGACAGACAGGACGACAACAGAACCCAAGGAGATTGTTGTAAGGATTCGGAGACTTAGTATATATGTGTTGGTACAGAGTAAACACCAGATGAGTGTTACTTTATTATTGTGAATCTGAAACAAAGCAAATAATTTCATTTTAGAAAATGAGCAGCAAGTTGAAAGTTTTCTTATGCTTATGGTCGAGACAAATAGGATGATGATTGTTCCACTGACTATGATAATGTTCTTAAACGTAGGAGCCTGGCCACTTCTTGAAGGTGGAGTGGTGTCAAAATTCTTTGAATCTCAAGTATCTGATAATGTCTCATGTGCAGAGGTACTCAATACATGTTGAGTGAATAATGAATGAATTTTTAAAAATAAATGAATGAACACATGGGTTGACACTTTTCAGAAAAAGAATGGTATTCATATAGAGTGGGCTTAATATTTAAAATAAATGCAAATTCTTTTCACAAGTTTCTTTTGAAACTTAAATCTACATCTTAGAAATGATTCAGTAGGGGCACCTGGGTGGCTCAGTCGTTAAGTGTCTGCCTTCGGCTCAGGTCATGATCCCAGGGTCCTGGGATCGAGCCCCGCATCGGGCTCCCTGCTCAGCAGGGAGCCTGCTTCTCCCTCTCCCACTCCCCTTGCTTGTGTTCCCTCTCTCGCTGTGTCTCTCTCTGTCAAATAAATAAATAAAATCTTTAAAAAAAAAAAAAGAAATGATTCGGTAGTCTTCCCAAAATGATTGATATAGTCCAAAATACTGCAGTTTTCTGTTTCTGCTTCAAACTGACAGAAAATATTTAATCTCTTGAGGGAAAGAGAGTTGTACTTTTATCACCTCTTGACTACGGTCATATCATCTTTTTAAGAGAGCCTACCTTATTAAGAATTTTCATTTATTTATAAACACATAGTTTTATTAGCTTGAATGGGTTGATTTTTTTATTAGTTGAACTGGTAGATTTTTTTTTTTTTTAAGATTTTATTTATTTATCTGAGAGAATGGGAGACAGAGAGCATGAGAGGGGGAGGATCAGAGGGAGAAGCAGACTCCCCACTGAGCAGGGAGCCCGATGCGGGACTCGATCCCGGGACTCCAGGACCATGACCTGAGCCGAAGGCAGCCGCCTAACCAACTGAGCCACCCAGGCGCCCCGAACTGGTAGATTTTTTAAAACTAAGATTTAACTAACATAAGACAAAGAAAACATTTCTCCTCTTGAAATCTTAAAGATATTTCAGAGTACATATTGTATTACCCATGCTTGTGTTTTGAAATTAACTCTACATGGCCTTTCATTGGTATAGTATGTTTTTAATCTAGGAATTCTGCTGAATTCCTGCTGAAATGAGCTGCATAATTATTTTGTAATTCTAGGGCTTACAATATATTTGCATGATTTTATTTCTCAGAAATAATATGGGAGGTGGTAGATGATTATTTCTTACCCTATTTGAGTCAATTCTCGCTCTGGAAGTATAGATGGGCGGGGGGATGTTGAAAGCCTGAGGGACCAGGTATTCCTCAGCATCCATCATATCTTCCAAATCCTCTTCATCCAAGAGATTCTGAAAGAACTTGCTGTCATTTGGACTGGGAAGCTTCATGCGATCATCACCCTAAAAGTTTGCCCGCCAGACAAACAAAAAATGAGTCTTCTTTTCACCTTAAACATGTGGACTTTGCAGCAAATTTACGTAATATCAAAGCAAGTGGTTGAAAATTCATGCACTCATTTAAAAAAATAATTCTTTAACACAATTACCAGTCATGAAGGAGCCTGTAACATACTTAGATATGACAGGGTAAGATAAATACATTTAACAGAATGTGATAAATGCCATCAGCGATGAATAAAGCAGAATGCTCTGGCTGCTTTGAAGGAGGCATAATCTATTTCAGATCTGAGAATAACAGTAGGCTTCATTGCCAGGATGTTTGAGCTGTGACTTTAAGAATAAATAATAAAAGACAATTGACTTATCAATCTTTACTTTATTTTATTTAGTTGGTTTGATATTGTAGAGTTCTCAGGACATACAGGCTGCTCCATGATTTGTCCTAAGGCGTAACATTGTAGCTTCCAAAATCACAGCACAAGTAGCAAATAACATAAACGAAGGTGGGAGAGACACCAAAACCCTGCTCTTTTTTACTTCATCTATTTCTTAAATATGATTTTTTTGAATTTTTCAAAATTATGTGATATTTTTGTAAACAAGTTGTTTATGCAAATTAATTTGGGAAAAGGATAACTGGAAATTATTCTAAAATCTGGCTTTTATCTTCATGTCAGACTATTGATAGGAAGATAAATGCTACCTTGTTTTATTGAGGAAAATTAATTCAGTGCAACCCAAGGTCCATTTGTTTATGATTTAGGTAAAAATAATCATAGATAAATATATTACAATTTTAAAATTTTCCAATCCATTTTTTTAGTGTTTAATATAAAATGTTTTTTGGGCTATCATTTGATTCATATGTACATCAATTCACTTGAATCTGAGTTATTGCTTGGATACTGTATATCTCCCCAAACAAACTATATTTATAAATATTTTTTAGGAAATTAAATATCAATATATTGAAACTAGTAATTCACTGTCTTCAACCCTGGTCAAGATTAAAACAAAAATCCATCTTCTGGGCGTCTGGGTGGCTCAGATGGTTAAGTGTCTGCCTTTGGCGCAGGTCATGATCTCCAGGTCCTGGGATAGAGCCCCATGTCAGGGCTCCCTGCTCAGCGGGGAGTCTGCTTCTCCCTCTTCCTCTGCCCCTCCCCCCTGCTCATGTGCTCTCTCTCTGTGTCTCTCTGTCTCAAATGAATAAAAATTTAAAAAATAATTCTTAAAAATCCATCTTCCTTTTATTCTGAAAAAGGAAGATTATAATAATGGACATGACTTAATGCATGTTAATAAAAAGCAGAGTGCTAGAAGGCTTGTCTGGGGATAAGGACTTTTTATGTATATGGATAATCATAATTATCTTGCTGTTCAGTACCAGAGGCACTTGAATACTAAGGGAAGATTCTTAGAAGTGGTTGTGACATCGAGTGAAAGGCTCTTTCCATAAGTCATTTCACATGATATTCTGCTTAATTGACTTATGAGTGGTGATTTCCACAGTCCCAAAGACGAGATATGTACCAACCTGAATAACTAGATATCTTTGAGGGTCTCGAGCCATCCTTGAAAATTCAGCAGCCAGTTCCTTAAATTTAGGCCTACTGTCAGCATCAATCATCCAACCTAGAAATTCACATACAAGAGTCACTCTATCCATAATTAAGAAGAAGTAGGATGTAAATTTTATGAAAACATAGGCTCAGTTTGAAAAATATTCTTTTAATAACAATGATCTAAAAAAACCAAACAAACAAAGAAAGCTAAAGAAAGAAACAATCCAATTAGGTGAGGTTCTATCTCAATCAGTTTGTTGATATTCAGAAGTAAGTGTAATATACGATAGAATAACAGAAACTTTTCATTTTGTTCATCTAATTTAAAATTAATTTCCTTCTTAGAAAACATAACCTAGACTAACTATGGGAACTTACAGAATCTCTGATTTTTTTTTTTTAACTTTTCTTTGATGGGGATATAATTTATTATTTTATGTCAGGAGTGACATGAAGCTTTGGTTACAATGCAGTACACCAGCACAGAGGGGGAAAGGGAAGAGAAAGCAACATTCTCATGCTACTTTTTTCCTGGTGGGAAAAAAACAATCCAAAATGATTGGTAATGTTTGTTCAGCAACAGCCATTAGCTTATCTAAGTACTAGCCTTTGCAGCATAAAAATACTATCAGCAATTTTCAAGGTATGTATTATTACTTAGCTGGGAGTCCAGATAAAGTGGGTCTTATCTCCCCAGGCTCTGTTTAGCTGATGAGATCACAAGAATAAAAGCACAAAGCTTTCCTTGATTTTCTTGCCAAATGACCCTCTTCTTAGGTATTAAAACTCATAAAAGAAAGGTAAAACTCCCTATTAGGCAAAATATTTTCCTGATTTTTCATTGTTTCATCAGAGTATCTAAATGAAGTATCTAAATCACCTCTGATGCTAGTTATGAGATCAAATTATATAACACATGCGTTTTTTTTTAAAGTTCCTTCCATAGATGACTATTGAATGATGTTTGATCCAATAAAGCTATAAGGTTTATTTCCTTTTTCCGGGGGTTCGATTTTTATTCTTGTTCTGGGAAGTCTTTGGGTGTCATTTCATGTATTATTAATATTACCTGAATTTTTTCTCTTTTAACAAAGCTCAACTATATGCATCCACTTAGAAAAAAAAAATGTTGTTGATACCAAGATGCTAATGAGAAAATAGGTGTTTCTGGAACTACTGGAATCAAAAAAGGTTAACTTTGCTGGGAGGTATCGGTTTCTTTCTAACTGAATATTGAGTAAATAGAACTGTGCTTAGAGAAAAGGGCATGCTGACCTGAACTGGAAAGCACATTTTTTATTTCTTCCCTCACTGTCAGAATGTATCACACATGTCATGAATATAAATCTGAGTAGACCTGGGTCCAAAGTCTCTTATTAATAAGATGCTTATTCACCTTCACCAGTTTGTTTCTTTGCTAACCCTGTGTAAATCAAAAGGGGAAAACCCCAGATTACACAAGAAAGATTGCTGAATGTTAATCTCACTTAAATTAAGTGGGAAACTCCAGAGACTTCCCTAATTCTGTTTAAATTAAGAGCCTAGGCTGCCAAAACACATTTATAATACATATGTGTCTGGGGCACAGAAAGGAGGAAGAAAAGTAAGAGCATTTGATGTAAACAAATGATCAAATTGAAAAAAAAAAGTAAACATTCATAATCTTTTTATTTCACTGTAGATTCATGTCTTCTCACTTCCCATTCTGCCCTGCTAATTTCCTGTTGACTAGAACTGGTAAACCTATTTCCATTTAATTCATTTTTTTAAACTATCAGTTTCAAGCTTTCTTTCTTTATATTTAGATCATTTGTCTAGACTGCTATTTTCCTATAAAGATTACTAGCATTATTGTGACTAATTACATCTCTTTATGAAAGACAATTTGATTGTCATGGAAATGATAAGAATCAAAGTGAAATGAATCAGAAGAGTAAGAGTCATATAATTTTGACTTTATAACGTGGAAGCATGCATATTGATGCATACTGCTTCCTATTAACAATAAGCCAAAAACACAGGTGTTTACATGATTTTTCATAATTATTTTTGAACTTTCATATTTTTCATATACAAAAACATTATGCAGGTAGATTAATCCATACTATTATTTTACTAAGAATGATGATGATGATGATAAAATTATTTTTCAATCTTACATTTGACCATGACCATGTAAACATCAATAGTGCAGATCGGAGGCTGGGGCAAACGTTCTCCTTTCTCTAATAAATCCGGGATTTCTCGGGTTGGAATTCCATCATAGGGTTTTCCTCCAAAGGTCATCAGTTCCCATATAGTGACTCCTAAATTGGAGATCAAATATTTATATAAGCATACTAACAACATAGTATGAAGAAACCAGCAGTGTGCCAATAACAAAAGAAAGCTCCCTGGAAGGCAGTCAAAAATAGTCTAAAGAGTCTGGGTGGCACAGTCAGTTAAGCATCCGGACTCTTGGTTTTGGCTCAGGTTGTCATCTTAGGATCATGGGATCGAGCCCTGCCTCAAGCTCTGTGCTCAGTGCCCCCACCCCACCCCTGCTCTAAAATACATAAATAAATCTTAAAAAAAAAAAAGTCTAAAGAAAGGCTCTTCAGATTTCTATATCTATTAGGAGAAGACCAATGACAAAATCTTTGTGGGAAATTCAATTATCTTATTATTGTTTTGAAATTTTTAATGAGTAACAGAGACAATTCAGAGTGGATGTCAAAATACAGAGTCTGTTCCCCATTTCTACTTTTAAGTAATGTTAATATTTGCTGATCCAAGTTAATTTTCACTACACCACATTAGAGCCTATCAAACAATTCATTATATACATGTGTATTCAGTATCAAGTAAATATGATTGCAGATAAAATCTGATGTTGACTGATTTTGAGATTAACATTTTTGCTATTAAAAGTCCTGTAGGCGGGCACCTGGGTGGCTCAGTTGGTTAAGCGACTGCCTTCGGCTCAGGTCATGATCCTGGAGTCCCGGGATCGAGTCCCACATCGGGCTCCCTGCTCAGCAGAGAGTCTGCTTCTCCCTCTGACCCTCCTCCCTCTCATGCTCTTTGTCTCTCATTCTCTCTCTCGCAAATAAATAAAAAATCTTAAAAAAAAAAAAAAAAAAGTCCTGTAGGCTAAGCTGGGATGCCAGAATGATTACCTTATGTTATGGTAAATCCTTGTGGCTCTCTTTTTAACTCACACAAAGAGAACAGGTGGAATAAAACAGATTCGTATCTTTAACACCTGTGAGAGCCTGAGTGATCCAAATATAACGTAATACATATGAAGTAAGCATCACAAAATTGAAGGGAATCAATAATAGTTGATTCCATAGATATGAAATCACTTTCTTGAACCACTAGAACAGTGATTCCCTTTGTAAATACCAGCAGGCAAAGAGCTAACTTTGATAATAATGATTCTGATTTGAACAATAATATATACACTATAGACCTCTTTCTGATTTCATAAATATACAATTAAAAAGTTATCATTTCTTAAGGATAAGGATTTTAAGTTCAGAAATAGCTATCTGTGCATAAGAGTCTTACCAAGTAAATTTTGATTGGTTCATATAATATACAAACTATGTTTTAATATAAAGTCCATTAATTAGGACTATGCTTTTTTTCCTACTTCCATCTGTAATGAATTATTAATTCAAACTGAAGTCTTTTTTAGCTCATGACAGTTATCATTGACTAATAATAAAAATACAAAGTTTAAGATATAAAAGTATATGTGAACTTCAAATTATCCTTTATAATAATATCATTAGCAATTACCTGATTTTTCTTGTTAATATTTTTATCTTATGATTCTTAGGTATAATATAAAAATGTAACTAGTGACACAATTTAACTGTTTGATCTTGATTAAATCCTACTTAATTTTGCATATTAAAGAATGGCTCTGTAGAACCAATAATTAAGATTCAGTGTCCATGAGACAGGCTGGAACAAGTTAAGAAGCAAAGG